CGCCCGTATTATGGTTGCGTTTATCGTATTGCTTCCCTCTATCTCTCACCAACCATACGATTTAGGCCGTTTCGCCCGTATTATGGTTGCGTTTATCGTATTGCTTCCCTCTATCTCTCACCAACCATACGATTTAGGCCGTTTCGCCCTTATTATGGTTGCGTTTATCGTATTGCTTCCCTCTATCTCTCACCAATCCAAATAAATCTTTTGAAATATTTTTTATAACATTACAATGAAGAGTTGATTTCAACCCCAATTTGTTCGTCGCTTACATTCAATGCTCTGTTGAGCAGCTTTTTGATGAATTCGTCAAAATCATATCTTCTTCTTCTTATCCTCAATTGCATTCATCGGCTAATAATTGCGTTTGCACCGCACCTCGTCGTCAGCTGCTTCCGTCCATGCGATCTGGTATATTGCTTGCTGCACTTTCCTCTATCGGTCCGTCCCAATCAAATTTCCACACGGTCCGTGCCGGTTCCAGTCATTTATCCTCGCTTACATATATGTAGATGCTGCTTCTGAATGAAAACTAATTGAGATTTCTTTCTCGGTGTTTGCATTTCCTCTCGCTTATTATTAGATAATTTTTAGTACAATGAAAATGGACGAAGCGTTAAATAGAACACAAAAAGAATATTTAATTAAATCAAAGCAAATAAATTCGGAATGAGAGTGCAAATCGGAATGCATGCATGGATGGATAAAGGGAATGAGAAACGCAATATTCAGACCAACAAAGATTAAGTATCAAAAACGAAAAAGTTCTAGTGGTCAACTTCTTGCTTTTACATCATCAATCTGTTGTCGTGTGCTCTAGCATTGTGCTCTAGGAACGCACTCAATATAGACAACCACCACAAAGATTTTCTTCTTTTTCTTGAAAAAGCATCAACGAGACTCTCTCAAACTTTATCTGTCTAAGAACAGCCACACTACACGTTTTGAGGATTACACGTCAGTCCGACCGTTGTCTCTTCAAGCACATATTGAGGATGAACGAATCATGCATACCTGATTAATGAATAATGCATAATTCATAAGAACGACATGGCATCAAAGAAGAGTGTCGAAGCCAGTCGAATGAATGAAGCGAACAAGTGAAGCGTGCCTATGTGAACTACCAACGAATTCTAATATCCAACATAACAGTGAATATATAGTGTCAATCTAAGGTTATTCGCCTCCTGAGTAAGTAAGTTTTCACAGAAGGAGATCGATCTTTCAGCAAGAGCAAAATTACCATCCATTCCGCTCATCTGCTCAATCACTCATTTATTCAGCATTCAGCTATCTGTGATTTGTGACATACGATTTGATGATTATGACGACATTCACTCTAACTTCACCATACACAAACAGATATCATATGCGGTTCGGTTCATCTCATCTAACATCAGCTCATTTCACCTTTTTTTCATTTTCATTAAAAACGTGCGCATATACAACACACCACACGTAAATTTCTCGTAATATTTTTCATCATTGCGTTTCCATCATTGTTATTCCTATTATTCTCATTAAAATCATATTTTATCTCTACTCGCTACTATTACTCTTAGTAATATCATTATCATTATTATTATTATTGCTATTATAATTATTACTGTGACCATGAAATAGTGAAGAAGCATTTCTTCCGAACCATTCATCCATCCATTTTGATTCGAGTCCAGTCCTCTATTCAATCCCTTTCCGTACATGCTTATTCAGTAGCTAATAAATCTTACTAAATTGATTACAGTCCGTCCAGACGGATAGAAACATGTATGCGCATGTCTTTCCATGTCAAATTTGTATCGTTATCATCATCATCACCTTTATGACCGTTTCATCAGTACTCTACCACAACTGTTCGTCGTTCACTTCGAAAACTCACACTCATTGATTGATATTATCATATCACTCACTCTATCGAGTAGAACAACACAGAAGGAAGTACCAAACCAGATTTGAGTTCATCTTTAGAGATATTAATTACTCATAATGCAATCAGTTCTATTCTCTGATCGTAAGCTGATCAGATGAGATACGTCGTACATGAACAAAAAATAAAATGATCTCAGCTAATTGCATCAAAACTTCAACAACACTAACAACAATATTATTCGCATTCGGACTTCACATTATTTGTGACGATCCAAAAAAATTGCAATTCTAATTTTTTGAATTATTTTAAACAATTCAACCGAATCGAATCGAGTCACTCTTTAACTCTAATATCATCTGGCTCATCGACTTTTCATGACATTATTTATTTATTTATTTATGAATTTGACGAAATCGAACTGTTTTTTGGCTTCAAACAAATACGAAATAAATTCACGTATGCAGCATTGCTTACTTACTCTATGAATTTTTCATCACCTTTACAGCGACGATTCAAAACTGAATGGATTACTGGAACAAGTCAACGAGACACTCACTTAATTAGCATAATAAACATACCTTAAATATTCTTCATATTCTCCCGTAACGATTACGGATGAACCGACAGCAATAAATACAGCAGCAGCAGCAGCTTACTCGATCAGTTCAATGAATTATTATCACTCTCAGTTGTATTCTCTTCCACCGTTTTTCTTCACTAACTATTCGTGCGATCATCATCTTATCTCATCTCTCTTATAAGCTCTATTCGTATACATGATCGTATCGTATCATTAATAAGCAATCGATCATGTACAGGTTCTGCGTGTCACTTATTTCTTGAACTAAGTAATATCTTTACACATACATCATCGAAGCAGTAGAATTTTTCGAAGTGTAGTGATTCGTCGTCGTCACCGGTTTTGATTCGCTACCTCTGGTGGTCACAAAACGCACTTTTCATTCATTCTTTCTATTCAGTGAGCCGTTCATGCGCATACAACAAACCGAATCCTCTATCACACAACAGTCTTCATTGTTGTTGTTGTCGAGTTTCGTTGAGTTGCTCGACTCTTCTAAACTCGCTCGCTACTCTACATGATTAATAGTATTAATAACTATCAGCATTTCATTCACTTATCATTACTTAACTACTGTTGCTTCGTTTACGACTTCTTCACATAAACCACAATACTTATCTACTACTACTACTTACTTCAATAAATCACTCACTCATTCCAGCTAAATACTATAATATAAATTCATCCATATATTCTCACACACACACACACATCCACTTAATCATCCATCTATCTATGGAACCCGATATGCACTTAAACGAGTTGAAGACTACATTTCCTTTTTTTTCTAAATGAAGAAACTTTTCTTTTTGCGTTTATCGAAATTGAATTCGTTTCATGTCTTCTGATGAAGAGCGATCGTCATTCAAAAATCATCAAAAAATTTTTGTTCGTGTTCGGCACAAGTTTGTTACTTCAAATTAATAACTCAGATTTCAGCAAGCCAGAGCAGCGTGCGCTCACAGTCTACAACTGCGCGTCTATAAGCTAGTCCAACAATAGTATTAGTTCGTAGTAGTAGTAGTAGTCTACAATTAATCGTGTTTCTGTTAAGGTGCAGTAGTTAGCGCCGCTACTTTTTCAATCCGATGAAAATTCCACTAGAATAGTGCCTGGGTGCCTCTATTAATAAGCGCCATCATAGTCGTCTGCGTTTTAGCATTTTAGCCAGCCAACTAGTCTATTTTTTCAGACATCCCAAGATGTTTCAAATACATATGTCGGCTCTATCATAGAGACAAGCTCACTTGTAGTCGAAGCACTTGTACTAATGCACTCAAGCACAAGGACTTGTTAAACATTCGCCATTAGTATTCATCAGTGCATGTCACTACTCACTTCACTGATGTGAATTTGAAGATGAAGAACTTACGTGAGAAGTTACGCAATCAGCTTCTCTTCATTCAATGGTGTTGTTCTCATTCGTTAGCGTCGCATAGCATAGATAGATAGATACTCATTCGCCTAATTAACAGACACACAAAAGTATATAGAGCAATAGAGTTTGGTTCAAATGATTATCATAGGACCACTGTGAATATAATATAGATGAACCGAGCGAGCCAACTGCTACTAGGAAGGGCAACGCTTGAGAAAAGACGAAAAAACTGATGGCTAAGGAATTAATTCGTTTTCTCAGCCGCAGTACAATCATCACAATCACAATCAAACAAGCGATTCGATAAGCGTCATTAGACTGCCACATTGCATGAATCGTTCAGAGCATAAAAAATAGTTCTTCACACCATTATCACTGTGTTATTATTTTCTAACCAATTCACACAATTTCCTCAGTTTGTGCACTTGTCATGTTTCACGCTCTTTATCAGGTATGTATTGCTCAGAAAAGTTTTAAAGTTGTTTGTCAAATCTTGCAATTTTCAGATTCATCACAGCATTACTTTACTGCTCACAGTGATATCTCTCTTGTCTCACAACCATACTAAACGACTTATCAATCAATCGCGTTAGTAATCACTGAGTACAACTGGCGTCCATGAGCAATTCAGAGCTGCTGACACGATGGCACTACTGGTGGCAGAACAACACCACCGCAAACATCAATAGTGCTGCTGAGCACAAGCATCGAATCGCTGACAATTACCTCGAACAAATGCAGAAATATTACTGGCGATCATCGCCATCTTCTTCAGCCACATATACTCCCTGGTCACCGTCGCGTTACCGTCGTCTTCGCCGTTCATCTTCCGTGTCTCCAGCACCTCGCATATTCTATTCCTTGGCCACTTCCAGTCGCTACTCTCACCAACACTCTCATAGCCTGCAGCATCATATTCATGATCGTATTCAATCAACTGATCACCCTTATCCACTTCTATGGCAATCAAACGCATCCTCATCAACAATCGCCACACCTATTAAAACGTCATTCAACATTAACACTATTAGTCTCAATATTGATATTGATACAACAAATTACAACAACGTTTTCAATAGTATTGCACATTATAATAACAATAACAATAGTAATAGTGCTATAAATTTATACAATATCAATACTATTAACAGTATTAATGATATTATCATCTTTAATCATAACAATAATGATAATATCAATAATGATAATATTATTTATAACGACACCTTAACACACTCATGTCCGAATTCACCCTGGCCATCGTCATGCCTTTCACTAATTGTTGCAATCGTGACCATTGCGTTTATGCTCACCGTTATGCTGGTGAGTGAACAATTGCTTGACAGTTACAAATTACCGAAATATAGCAAATAATTCAATACCTACTACTGAAGCCTTCATTATTTATAGTACCATAATGATTACTAGACATTATTATCATTATTATTGAATATGATTGTCATCAGAATATTAATCAACTAAATTTTAAGGGTATTGTATTAGGGAATTCATTAGTGGTGTTGACGGTGCACAATGATGCTAAATTAAGGACTCACCGTCAAAACTGGCTGATTGTTTCGCTAGCAATCGCAGATTTGCTCGTTGGTTTGCTGGTGATGCCGCTGACGTTGACTTATGAAATTATCGGAGAATGGAAACTCGGTACGATTTTTAAAAAAATTCGTCAACCCATAGGCTCAGGGTTTGGGCCTCGATGGTTTCATCTCAGTCGGCTAAGATTTGTTGCATGAATTCATTTATTGACTCCATACTGCGGCGGCGTTTATTTCCAATATTTTCACTTAGTTCAAAGAGGTGCCAGAAAGAAGTGAAGACAATGAATGCAGTGAAGAAGACCTTTCAGAGTGGATGTATATTTGAATGGATGTATATTTCAGGCAAGGTGCTGTGTGAGCTGTGGCTTGCACTGGATGTGCTCTTTGTGACCGCATCAATACTTCATATTTGTGTGATCTCGTTGGATCGTTACTGGTCCATTACACAACCGTTGCAATATCCTAACAAACGACGTACACCACTCAGGATTGCGATCATGATTGGTTACTGCCTACAAAAACGATAAATAGATTCACTGACTGCTCCAACTGATCCTGAGTGATCGAACAATCCATCGAACAATTGATTGATCCCTATTCACTGTACACTCAAAACCTATCGGGGGTTCCTCGAATTCAACACAACCATTATTCCAAAATACGCTACTCACCTATCAGCACGATACTATGCTCAGCTCATTTCATTTCAATTCAGGAACGGCCTGGTTGTTATCGCTACTCATTTGTCTACCGCCTATACTTGGCTGGCGACCGAGACGTGCGCCAGGTGAATGCTCAGTAAGCACGGATATCGGCTACGTTCTCTACTCATCCCTTGGCTCATTCTACATTCCCGTTGTTCTGCTCGTTATCGTCTACGCACGCATCTTTATCATTACAAAACGTCACAGCCGTCAACGCATCAAAGTATACACTACCACATTAAACTGATTATGCAGTAAATTATCGGTCACAATGTGAAATGCTTGCTCCTCTTATTGCTATTATTATTAATATTGTTAAGGAAACCGAACGTTTGGGTAAGACGCTATGTGAGCTGGCTGCTAAAGCTGCACGAAATAGTATTAATGAAGCCAGCTATTTGCTGACTGCAAATACAAATACTACGATGACCAACACTCAAATTACTACTAGAAACACTCAACTCACGTCAGGTATGCATGTCCCCAGAGCCAACTGCCTGCGATCTACAACGACCAAATCGAAATGTTCAACGTCACAAACCCATTCCCTAATTATTTCATTACCTGATCCATCACACTTCCATCTGCTCACAATAGCACATCATATACATACATAAACAACCAAATCTACCCGATAATCATCTAAAATTTTTTCAGAAACCTCAGAAATAAGCAGCAAACTTAATTCCACATTTGTCACGTCACAACATAATAGCCGTAATAGTTGTACTTCAACCAGTAATGAGGCAAGTGAATAATTAAATGCTTCTTCGCCCTCAATTGTACAATATGACACTGTATAATAATATGACAGTGTCTCTAAACGTGTTCCACATTCAATAACCATATTACTAAAACTGAAATTTTACAGGTGCCATCAGCGCCCCAAAGTTTTTGGCAGAATACATCAACAACACATCAACCGACCTCCACCATGTATTACTGTCGAGATTCACCAGCAACCGCCATACTTATCTCCAACATAAACAATAATTACGACGGCAATATCGATATTAATAACAGCATTCGCAACTATGTTCATGCCACCACTAACACATCAAGCATTCCACTAGATAAAACTTGCTTCAACGTATGCCAATTAATAATCACTCGTATCGGTTCTCACTGCTACCTGAAGTAGTGATCACTGACAACAACAACAACAACTATAATAGTAACAGTGATGGATCGCAGTAACAGTAAAGATTAATCAAAAAGTAATGATAGGATGGCAGTAATTATAATAGTAATAGTATCAAATAATACTGACCATAATTAGAATGAAGTGGAATATAGTCCGATGAAATAATAGCAACCACAATTTACAACCCAGTAGACAAACCGCACACGAGCCGATACAGCGATAAGACTGAATTGCTCCAATTGAAAACAAACCAATCGAGTGAACTTTTTTTTGAATTTTTTTGTGACGTCAGTTTGATCAGTTTTGTAAACAATTTTTGGTCAATCTCATAGAAACTGAACTATTTTTTGATCTATGAGGTCAAAATGGGCGCGCAATCGATCGATTGATCACATTCTATCGTCGTAATTCTTTCAAAATCGTTTAATTTCGTTCAGTTTGATCACTCTCAACGTAAACGAGCCAAAATTCGACTGAAACGTCATACTAAAAGTGAGCAGAAAGCAGACTACTGTCTAGTGCAGACTGCAGCAGCAGCAACAAATAAAACTCCTGCTTACGAATGCACAAGTATACGTTCGAAAGCAGCATGCGAATCGAAAGCGTTTAATGAAAAGCGACGTAAACTGCTCAAGGCTAAAGAGCGACAAGCCACTCTATTGCTTGGACTCGTACTCAGCGCTTTCATTTTTAGTTGGTTACCCTTTTTCGTAAGTTATTTCTGTTCGTTTATAACGACAGTCCTACTGACAATAATAATTATGATTACATAAAATATTAACAAATCGTAGACAAACGCAAAAAAAACAATTTCTAGGTAATTTATGTGCTGGGCGCATTCGGCTACAAGGCACCTTCGTTAATCTTTAAATTCTTCTTCTGGCTTGGATACTGTAAGTTAACATTATCTATTACTAAGCGCTTTTCTTGTGGGTGCCAAATTAATATCGTCATACACAATAACTGAAATCACTACTTAAATGTTCCACTTTTGAAGGTAATTCTGGTATCAATCCCATCATCTATACAGTTTTCAATCGAGAATTCAAAAATGCGCTCTGCAGACAACTGCGACGACAACGCAAGCACACGGCTTCCATTATACGACGCTCATTTCATCTCAATTAAAATTATGCTCGCTCCATGTTTGATTCATTCGAATACTAGAAACTAAACTATTTTTTGATCTGTGAGGTCATAATGGTCGAGCCATCGATCCACTGATCACATTCCACCGTCGTAATGCATGCTTACGTCATGTATATAAATACAACCATAATGATAATATTAGTAGTGAAAATTCGATGCTGCTCACTTCAATGGATATAATTTGACATGCTCTATTGTGTGTTGTAATGCTTGAAGTAGCAGCAGCTCATTAAAAAGATTCATATTGCTTTGCAGTGATCACAATCTTGATCCAACCAAGCCATTTGTCAATATTCTCCATCAAACATCACTCTATCAAACACCACCAAGCGATCCTTTGGCGAAATGTCCATCCACTACTTGTGGCACACTCGTCCACTTCACCAATGCTCGTCTCACCTGCAGCCTTAATCTCGCCACACAACCGTTTTAACGGCACAATGAAACCGGCTGCTGCATCTACTCTACAAAACATGCAAACAACACAATTATAGCGTGCAAAAAGTGAAACACATCAAAATACCACACAAAACAACACACTAATAATAAATCCAAAATCAAAAAAAAACAATTATATGAGCAGACAGAACGACGAAAGTCGGTCAAAGTTAAAAAATCAATCGATCAGTCAAAAAAAGTGAAACAATTGAAAACGAATGTTTATTTGTGTAAATTTCCTTTATGTGATGACGACGCAATTAATTGATCTTATTATTATTATTATTATTATTATTATTATCATTATTTGAATCGCCATTTACAACCATTTAACTGTTCTAACTGAATAAGAGTACCATCTCTACACCTTAATACAGTTATTATTATTAATGATAACCGTAAAAGTAACAGTAATAGTAAGAACGATACTGTCAACAGTAGCAGTAACAATAATTACAAGGACAATTACAACTGAATTAAGATCAAAATAACTGATAATCGGTAACTGATAATAATGACAAGAATAACAATGTTAATAATAATAGTTAATAATAATAGTGATACTATCAATAGTGATAAAATATCTGATCAAGAACAACACAAGAGCAACAGCTATCTGTTCAATACGAAAGCACAAGATCAAATCAGAAAGGCAATCTTAACATCAATTAAATCGCATAGTTTTTTTGTGGGTATTCTCATCATAATAAATATTACAATGAATAAATAAATTACTGCATATTATATGAATAAATAAATATCTATGAATATACACGTCTCAACAATATCGTAAACATTCGCCATACAATACAACACTATTATTTAAAATGTATGTATAACAATAAAAACAGTTATAATATACTCTGACTAGACTCTGCAAAGACTCGAATAATACTAGAAAATCATAATGAACAGAAATTTGCTATATGAAAGTATAAATACAGTCAGTTACACTACTATTATTACAGTGCAGTAATTACATGAACAGCACAGTGATGGTTAGTATACATATATATCCACAGTTACTATTATTATTACTCTTATTATTTGTTATTGTGGTTGTCAATACTCATGTTATCAGTATCAATTTACAACATAGACAGACAGACAGACAGCTGCCATGTGAAGTGTGAGTTGCTGTCTTCAAATCTTACTAGTGTAGAAAAACTGCCAAGCAACCGTTTTCAAACAATAATAATAAGAATAATAATACTAAATACGGGCCTAATAATGCAAGCAACAACTATATTCTACGCAACTATCTGTTCATTACTTAATCGAAAACACATTACCTTCTGCGTCAAGTCAACGTCACTATGAATTAATTCTAAAAACAACCCCTTCCTTTGCATTTCTTGCCATTCCACAATACTACTACAAATGAGTACTTCTCTCGACTCACTCTTCAACTAGAATGTACAATCCCAACGCACTACTTTCTTCTAAACCTCACTAATATCGCTTTTTGCAATCAGCGTAACACCATTTTCAACAATCAAACGCTTACAAAAACGATACGGTTGCGACTTATTCGACAAGCCAACTGGCGGCGATGACGAGATCATCTTGCCTTGTGCTGCTGGCGCTTGGAAATTCTCAGCGTTTTGGGACGCTGCTAACTTTTGCTGAATTTGTTGCTGATCTGCAGTGAGCATAATGGTTGTTGTTGTTGCGCCAAAATGACTAGCTGCATTATCACTATTACTATTAGAATTAGTAGCATTCGCAGCACTCGTTGCCGGAGGACATGTCTCTAACTCATCAACACTTTTTATTGCTGTTGCAGTTCTATTACTAACGAGCACTTTATTATCAGCTGCTGAGGGCGGCATTGATCCAGCGATCACCATCGATAGAGTAGTAGTAGGAGGCCGGGGCAGTGATGGTGAGCATGTAGTTTGTTGTTGGCTCGTTGCTACGGTGCTGCTCTCATTTTCGGTACCACCCAAAATGATACAACTTCCGGTACCATCACTACTTGTCGTTTGTACTGTGGCTGCTGCTGCTGTTGTGGCACTTGAGGAGCTTTCTGACGATGAGGTGCGCGACGAAGAGCAAACTGTTGCAGCAGTCTGAGTAGTTCGAGCCTGTTCTCCTTTAGCTGTGATCTCTGGAACCTCGGCTGCTGCTTCACCCTCATGCTGCTGCTGCTGCTCCTCTCCACCGAACCCCCAGTTCAAGTCACCAACCCAATTACCATTACCTTCCTCGTCAATACACCTGCCCGCCGCTTCTTCAGCCTCATTTAAAGTCCTACAACTCCCCTTATTTTCATCATCCTGTTGCACACACTCTCTCGTCGCATCTTCTGCTTGTTTAATGCCATTATTATCAATATAATACAGTTGGGTATTCAGCATCAGTGCTTGACTGTTACTGCCCACAACACATTCACTCTTATCACTCATCCACTGAGTGTTATTAGCATTACAGCTCTTCTTGTCTGCATCATCATTCATCAGCACATTATTATTATCATTATTTGCTTTTGTATTCGCATTACTATTAATATTAACATTATTATTATTATTATTACTGATGCTATTACTGCTAGTCGTATTATCATTAGTGGCTGTGGCAGCTACGTTTTTGGTTCCCATTTTGCTCAGTTTCTTGTTTTTAGACGTGCCACTTCTTTTCTTGTCGCTGTCACTCAATAGAGCGGCAGCACGCTTGTGACGGTGATGGCTCATCACCACTGTACCATTGCGACACAACACGTAACGTAGTTCACGACGAAGCTGAATCAATATGGCATAACTATTGTTAGATTCGAGATAGAGACTTAACTAGAGTATTGCAGAATAACAACGGTTAACTAACTTGAGTATTATAAAGGAGATAAACCGTCGGATTCACCGAGTTGTTGATGAAAAAAAGTGAAGTCATCACAAAATACGCCCATTTTGATTCGGACATATGTGGTAGCCATTGCCATGTGGTCCACGTCAACAGGAACACTACAGAGACCAGGAAAAACTGAAACTTTTCAAGAACTGAATACTGCAATACATATTTAACATGCAAAGTGTATTTTATAAAGTTTCCATTAGCAAACCTAACATAACAGCTACTATTTATTACCTGTATGAAGAGTCGCATTTCTTTTTTGCTCACTTGACTTCTCGGTGGTCTCAGGCTATTAGCACGCGATATCTCGTCACTTTCTGTACTGCAGTGCGTTGTTGAACGTTGCTAAAAACATATAAACACTATTCTCATCACATATTGAATAGCAAAACGAACCCTTGATCGAATCGTCAACTGATATTTGGCCATAGCCCGACCACTCTCACGAACTTTATAAATGATTACTGCATACGAAATGATCATCAGTATTAACGATAGACTGTTCACACTCATATCCACATACTTATACCTGCAATCAGATGGCTCTTAAAATCTGACACACGGCAACTAGATTCAATGTTCGCATGTTACCAAATCATAAAGAACCACATAAAAAAGGGCGTACCACGTATCCATTGGATCATAAACAGTAATATAATAATCTGAGTTCCATAAGGTATGACAACACGGAAACAGCGACGGTAATGAGACACAAAAACCAAGTAAATAACCGAAAAAAATGATCAGTAACGATTTATTCCTTGAAAATAACCATTTATATTCCATTGGATATACGATACTTACAAACCTGAAATACTCCATTGCCATACTAAAAAACTAACAAACAGAAACATTAATAAAGCATCAGTAGTGTTGAAATGTTGACCTCACTCCCTCTGAATGAATTTCTCGAACAACAATTAAACTTCTCTTTTAATTCTTTGTTGATCACAACTCGAAATGAATCTTTGCGTCGCCTCATCAATTATAATTCAATGAAGCGCTCTTATTCATTCACTCGAAGCTTTCATCAAAATGAAGAAAGCCTTTCAAAAATTCAATTATGCGAATAATCTCAGTAAATACTATCATCCACCATCCGCTTACATACATCCGACTCTATCAATTCCATGTGCTCGTAATAACACTATCAGAGCACTAGCATCACCCAAATAATCATACTACAAATAATAATAAAAATAATAACAAGTAATAGATTAAAATAACCTATTACAAGCCATCAAGCCAAGTTGAAGTACGGCTGTATACCAGAATAAATCATAGAAAAATATCATGAGAATATTGCGTGTTGAATGAAACTCCAAGAAGGCACTATGAAACGCAGTTGCTGGCACCAAATGAAACAAGCTTATTACTGTCATTACAATATCGCATACGGCTAACGAGATGATGAACCAATAACTGCAACCAACACACACTTCATAGTAACAATAATCATAAATAATAACAATCCAAAAAATAATCCGATTTGCAGGCGGCAAGCAGCAAGTAGTACCTTGTTGCCGAACGCATTGTTGAGCTGCGTGCGATACCGATCAAAATTAAGATATTCGATATCAACGCATACGATAGCATCACCAACCATACACAAACCACTATTAAATCGTCACGTTTTCGTTCCCAAGACCTAAAAGTTGCGATACTCTTCTCTTGTCGATTCGATTCTGCTTTTACTTGCCTGTGTCTTAATTTAAATTTAATCAATCCAAATTTTGTATTCGCTATTGATAATGCTAGATATTATCAGTACTACTATAATATTATCATTATTATTACTATTACTATTATCATTACTCTAATTGAGCACAAATGCAACAGCCCTTAACATTAAACAACTTGAAACATCATCACACCACCCCGAATCAGCTGCGCTAACCTGTTATCATAGAATTTTGCCATTTTATTGACGCTTTCAAAATTTAGTATTGCTGATATTTGTGCCATTTAGAACAACTATTTGATATATTGATAATCACAACAGATTTAACTAATAATTACGACGCAAATGTCAACAATAATGATCGCACAAAACCAAATCGCGGTCACATATTGCAATCAATAATAATCGTATAATGATGATAGTTTTCTTTCTGTTTATGGATGGTCAAACCGGATGGATGGTGTTCGTTCGATGTCTTCTAGTTGAGCTCAGCTATCAAAATTTATTCTGTAATAATTTCGTTCACATCTATCTGCACCGCAGATATAAATTCAATACGTGTACGCAAAAGCAAATTTGATTTTTATTCAATTATTCAGCCAGCCATCCAAACATCCAGTCGTACGAACCCATTCCAAACCAACTTACGTCCTTAGCCATAATCAGCCTAGATTAGTTTCACAACAAGCTCAACTACCATCTTATCTATCTATGTATGCACTTCTATCAAAAAACACTTCTCCGCATTCAAATCCAACCAATTTCCCTGTCACGAGCAATTTCTACACAACAAACAAACATCTCAGACCCTAACCGAAACATACAGTAAAGTATTCTATCTACAGCTTTACGACTTCCTGCTACTGCAATCGTCTCAATGCACTGAACGATCACCAAAACGACGACAATACACAAATCACTACTTATCTAAACATTTTTGTTTTTATTCCGTTCCATTCCATTTCGTAGTCATCCCATCCGCCATGTCATTATCAAATTCTTCATGCAAAATCATCACGCACGCCATATAACTCTAACCAGAGCATAGCACAACACGAATCCATCCATCGCTCCCACACTCAAATTATTCCCTCTCTAACGCGAATCATCACCAAATCAGTCCAACAAACCAAATCAAATTTATCCGAATGCAATTCAAAAGTCTATGCACAAAATTACATCGCACTAACAACCATAAATATGATAAATTCTTGTACACTCATACTTGAGCTAGGCCACTAACTACTAATATGATGTGCACAAAGCAATGAATACAATGATAGGAGCTGATGAATGAATAAGCAGTCGAAACGCACTTATTGTGATCAATAAATAATTCAAAAACAGGAACATGACACCACTAGTCATAACAGGCACTTATTCGACGATCGGTCTATTTGATGAGCATAGTCATTCCATATTACTATTTATATAAATCATTAGCTTTGTTCTTACATGTCAACAGATCATGCCTGATTAATACGAATAATGTTAACAATCCGGCAAATTCAGTCAAGCTCTACGGGGTCGGCTTCAAAACTAGAAGTTATTCATAGATGGAACTCAACGCTCAATCTAGCTTTGAAGTCTACTCAGCCCTTAAATTTTCGAATGATTCTCAAAATAATAATAATTCAACTCTGTCAACCCAACTCAGGCCAGCTGCAAGTAACCAATCCCATTCATTCAGTACAGTAACTAAGTCAACAACATAAGTCAAGTCACCAAAACAAAACAACAACAACACAAGTGAAAAGCAATCGTAACGAAAATAAAACTAACAAAATAAATGATATAAATTCTCAAAAAAGAATTATGAGACAACTGGGATGCATTACTTTTACTTACTTAATTTCTTTGCAGTGCATACTTGCACCAACTTCTCTAGTTACTTACTTGCTACCGTTCTTTCGAGAAATTCAACTGAACAGCCACAACCATAGCATCATCACTATTTGCAATAGCAATCCAGCTAACCACAAACGATCATATAAATACGAATCACATCTAACAATTTATCACCAAAAACGACCCTATGATTCATTCCTCCGCATGGCTGGCTGGCTGGCTCGATCGTTCTAAACATGAAGACAATATCTTATAAGGAAGCCGCAAATCATTATTCACTTTGATATGCCGCCGACTCAAAACTAATCAAAGCAAAATTCAAAGCAAATTGCTGATTAAATAAATGAATTTGATGTCTAATGACTGAATAAAACAATCCTAAGAAAACGTCTAATGCAACAGCAATAACCAAAATCATAACTCTAACAATTTTATTATAATTCTAGTAAAAGCAATGAGAATATACAATTTATTCGAACCAATAAGGAGTTAGAACAAAGCCAGACACGTCACTGTTCATTAAGGAAATGAATAAAAACCAGCTGAGATTAGACTGAGATTAAAAACCACAGCTAAGAAAGACATGGTCTAGCAACAAAATAATGCACATGCAGCAAATGATTAAGCAACAAGTGACTTTACATGCCGGATTGTGCTTATCAAAACAACCACTACGTATGTATAGGTTTTGAACCAGTAATAGTTCAAAGAAATGCAGCAGCACAACATCACACAACACAACAACCATCATGCATGAATAATGAAATAGATAAACGTTAGGTAACCCTTCAGTAAACCAATAGCATATTTATTATGAGTCGTGTTCGTCTTCGTCGTATTTCAGTCGATTTTTCTCTTATTTGGTCAAGCAGGCAATCTATTCAAGTGTATATTCATTCATTCATTTATTCATTCATTCAGCCATTCATCCATCCATCCATCCATGTAACTTCTATCCACTCTTTATTTTTTCATCGTTCAACTAAGCAAAGCCTTAAATATCAGCCTCCTTAGAATTAAGCCCACTCAGACCAAATATATCTGAAAGACAATTAACTCACCAACTGATCTGATTCACTTGCAACTAGCATTAGCAGATTTTTTTCTTGCTCTTTATGCCTAAATACAATAGTGATGGAATTATATTTCATACCCTATTCATATACCCATAAACAATAATAATGATAACAATAACGATAATACTCGCAATCCTAATCACAATGGCAGTTCAAGTGAGTGTATTAACTGAAGATTATGCAGCTGAAAGCACCAAATATATAGTACTGCCTACCGTATAATCTATTTTTTTCTTGTTATTCGATAGATAATTCACGTACATGTGCATACAACATTCAAGCATGAAATCACTTCACTTGATTCAATTACAAGTCAAAGTCAATAATAAAACATCTGTCTCATTGAATAGATTCCAACAAGACAGTTAACTAACTACTTGCAGCAGCAGCACCATCTACTGCCTGCTTGTTAGCAGCCTAAGCCAGCCGGTCAATTGAACCAACCGGCTAAGTCAAGTCTTATACCAGTTATAGTGATGTTTAAGCCTGAGCTTAGTCTAAGGCCCTATACTCGCGTTCTGTGTCTTAATAAAGCAGCAGCAACAGCAGCAGCCCATTGATGAGCAGCACTCAGCACTCCCTCTCTACTTGATTGCATTCGAAACGTATAAGTTGCTGTTGCCTCATGCACGTTGACAATATACGTTCCTGTTATTTATCACACATAAACAAATCACTTCATTCATCAACCGCTCGCTGATGTCGTTTCCAATTATCACCACCTTTACCTCATCCCATCCCACCCTCTCAATTTATCACTGCTACCAAATAATGCACCTGAAACTAGTAAAGTGTAAACAACCGTCCCATTACTGTTGTTGTTCTCTTTCACAAGTATGGAGAATTCCTTTTTTTTCTCAAAAAATTGCCTCCAAAATTTTTTGTTGTTTACCATTCCGGCACCACTTTCCTCCTCAACGGTAGTGTCCCCTTCTCGGCTCGAAAAGTCACGAACCCCTTCAGGTGTGTGTGATAGCGTGTTTAGAAACATCATTAAATGAATTGCAAACTGGAATGCTATTGAAGCAGTTTTTTGATGATTTGTGTGTGAATAAATTATAAAATGATTCAATAAATGAGCAGTGATGCATAAAATCGAACCGTTTTCGTAAACTTTTTCAAAACTAACACACTAATCTATCAACCCATCTACCCATCCCTCTATGTGAACAACCCAAACTGCACATTTAACTCACTCAAACATAACAACGCTTCTTCAACGTTTCTATATTCATATTCTTTCTAAACGTGCTCCAATACAATCAGCAATGAATTTCTTCACAAATTCTCGTCTGTTCCTTCCTTTTCTGACTGCATAACTTCAAGTTAGAGTGCCCTTCGCATCATTCTCACATCAGTCTTTTTCATCCTAATATGCACATTATTAATGCGCATCATTCCTATATTATTACTATTACTACTATTAATTATCACACTATTACTATTACTATTATTATTATATTTATCAATTATTGAAACAAATTTCCATGCATATATCTATTCAGAGACAAACATAACTAGCAATGTAATTGAAGAAATAAATAAAGCCAAGTACTCATTTAGTCACGCTATTATCGAATACTATTTCCAGCGGATCGCGTGAGATTCGTTATTTCTTGCTAAATACCATTCGAAATGCAGAATCAATCTGCATAAGACTATTGCTAATGAAAAACCGAGCGAAGACAACAATGAATGATGCATGACAATAATCATTCTGATAAAATTGTTTACATTTTCTGATAAACGATAACAATTATCTAATAGTAATAATAATAATAATAATAATAATAATAATAATGATACAGTCCTTTGTTCCTAAGAAGACAACTTAATCAAGCAAACAATACCATAAACAAACTAATAATAATAGCAGTATTAATGATAATGATAACACAAACACAAGCAATAATAGTGATGGGTGATGCAGTTAAAGACACACTTGAACTGCTCACAGTCATATAACAACAGCACACCACACTCTGACCAACACAAAACTTACAATGACGAATTGCCGTCGCTATACAAAAATTCGTGTTGTTGTTGTTGCTGCTCTCGATCGATGGAATAGTAGTCAGCGCTTTGATTCTTCATTATGTCACTGAATGTT